GTAGTCTTAATTGCCCATCCAAAACTGAGCATGGTAGGAAAAGATTTATTTCCACTGGGAGGGATTTCCTCAAATAGGCATGTAGGTAGGAAGCGTGGGAGCAAGTGCCAGTGACAATATATGTTGTGGTGCATACTGAATCTATTTCATATCAATGTATATGATGTCATGATAAACAATTCATCATTTTAATCAGGAACAGTTCTGTGTTCCTCAGAAGTGTGCTATTACAGAAAAAGGGTTTTTCCAAATATCTGGTGATCCAACTTCTCTAGTTAGAGGTTGACAATCTTTTAAATAATCCTAGTACAATCACAGTCTTACACAATGGCCTAAATATCTCCTAAATTTTAAAATACTTTCACTCTTCTGAATATGTGAAACCTCAAGAGATTTGACCAGTTTTTCAGATTATCATCAAAATCTTGTGAAAGGTAGTGATCTTGTTTAATCATTTAAAATTTTGTAATTTAATTTTTATTTTAGAAGAATTTTGTAATCTATTTAATTTTTATTTTAGAAGGTTGCATGTGCTATTTTAGGGTATATCAAATGCTCTGTTACTCCAGAACTGTCAAGTTATGGTATTGTACTTGACACAGAAGAATGCATGACAGGATGATTAATGATTATAATAAATTACCACTAACTATATAGATCTACTTTTTTCAACATATTTTATGTTTTTCAATAGGCGTGTGAAATTCTGCAATAAAACAATCATTTCACATATATATTAATTCTTCCATTTTTAAAAGTGAAATGTTTAATTGAATCTTAGATTTATATATGGGTTTAATTAAAGTATAATAGAGGCCCATTTTATACACTGATCCTATACTTCCTGGTGCTTAAATCTTTTGGTTACTCATATCTTTTAGTCTTCTATTTATATGATGATGGATCATCCAGTTTCAGATCTGCCATTCCTAGATATACTTTCAAGAAAATCAGTATTTGTTCCATGACAAATACTGCAACCATTTTGCCCTGCAGTTGAGTTGTAATTCAAAAGAGTAAATTTTTCATGCCTGCTGTGAATCATGGGAATTAAATACATCTAAGAGGTACCTGCTTGGGAAAGGGTGCACTATATCTGCAGTCACACACTGCTGGACTTTGCAGAAGAAATTCTCTCTAGGTCATTGTTTCTCAACCTTGGCAACTTTAAGATGTCTGGACTTCAACTCCCAGAATGCTGGCTGGGAAATTCTGGAAGCTGAAATCCAGACATCTTAAACTTGTTAAGACTGATAAACACTGATCTAGATACTATTTGTCTGCTCTGGTTTTCAGAAGAGATGACAAATCCATCTGGATATGGGAATACATTTAGGCAGAAGATAATGATAGAATAATACAACTAAAGGATATGCTTATTTTAGTTCTATAAATCTCTTTGGGAGAACCTAGCATGCTAAAAGCATTATATATGAGTAAATATTTCCTTGAATCAACAGAATAATACATTGAGAAATTTGCTTTCAAAGTTAGTTCCCAACCTTTCAATACTCTATAGGTTTTATTATTTTTAGGAATAGTTCTTTAAGCATATAGGGAGCTGTGGTGACAGAGTGGTTAGAATGCAATATTGCAAGCTAATTCTGCCGATTGCCAGCAGTTCGATTCTCACCAGCTCAAGGTTGACTCAACCTTCCATCCTTTCGAGGTCAGTAAAACGAGGGCTCAGATTGTTAGGGGCAATATGCGGACTCTGCAAACCGCTTAGAAAGGGCTGTAAAGCACTAGGAAGCGGTATATAAGTCTAAGTGCTATTGTTATATAGAAGCTATAATAGTGCTCTTCTTTGTCCTGGAAGGTTGATTAAAAGAACATCAAATTGGCAAATAAATATAAATCTGAATAGAAAGACTGGATTATGTTGCAATAACTTCTCATCTTCGGTAACTTTATGACTGAAAGAAAAATGTGCCTGACCCTCCCCCCTTCCATCCTTTCCTTTGCTCTTCTTTGAAAAGTGGTTTCTTGTTCTGCAAAGGAAAGAGGAAGACTGAGAATAAATGGGGTTAGGTTGATTACAAGTGCAGAGCTATTTCTGTTGGGAAAACTCATTTGACACAATTGGAGCAACAATATACGAAATACTTCTATCAATGTATTCTTGTTTGTCTTCCAATTTATGCTCACAAGAGAGATAATTTTATTTTATATGGACATAAAAATGTTAGACATTTCAAGCAATTTGAAATTATACAGTTGCCTAGAAACATTAAAACACAAAGCAAAGGGAAGCACACATCTGCCAGGGAAACCAGAAAATGTTGAATGTAATTTCCTTTTTAATACAGGTAGTCTTCAACTTACAACCATTCATTTAGTGACCATTCAAAGTTACAATGGCACTGAAAAAAGTGACTTATGACCATTTTTCACACTTACAATCATTGCAGCATCCCCATGGTCACGTGATCAAAATTCGGACACTTGGCAACTGACATGTATTGATGACAGATGCAGTGTCCCGGGGTCGTGTGATCACCTTTTCTTATCTTAAGCAAAGTCAATGGGGAAGCCAGATTCACTTAACAATTGTGTTACTGACTTAGCAGCTAAAATGATTCACTTAACAACTGTGGCAAGGACTATCTTGTTTAGAAATGGAAATTTTGGACTCAATTGTGGTCATAAGTCGAGGACTACCTGCAAGTAATTCAGAAAGATATCGTGAATCATACTGGCAGGTTTCATAAAAAGCTTTTTGAATTTTGCTGTGCATATTTATAATACTTTTAATTCAGACAAGTAGATAAAGTGCTTCACGTACGGTCCACACTTGTTCAAAAGTTGGAACCATCTTTTGAATTAAACTAGTTGCATGGAGGGCAACTGATATAATATAGATATAACATGAAGTAATTTCCTAATTCCAACAAGTGCTCTGCAGATTATATGATGAGCATAATATTTTTATTGCATAATATGCTATGTGTTTTGGGGTATATTCTTAACAAATCACACTAATAATTATATTGAAAGACCTCCAGATAACACACCTCACTGCTAGCCACAATGTGGGTAATTCTTGCTGGGAGAAAGAAAAACAAGTGTGTGTCAGACAGGTGTCTGTGCAGTAGGTGATTATTTACTACTTACTTTGTTGTTTGCAAAGTAAGGTAATTTTGTCAACATAGTACAGCTTCAGAAAGTAACCCTCCACTTTTCAATGAGTTTTTTCTTCACTTCATGAGAGTATTAATAGAGTTATTTTTTGAACACTGCTGTGCAGCCATATAAAGCTTTGTGGTACAATGGGAACATTTAGAATTTTTTTTTCTTATTTATACAGATGGCCTTTGTAACATCAAAAGCCGCATTATGTCCCAAGAAGAACTGACTAATGGCCTGGCCTGGCTTAGCCTGGGGGAACTAAATTTTAAATGAAGTTTTAGAATCTGTCTGACATAGCTTTTGTTGGTATCTATCATAGGGAACAATCACAGGGCTAAATGAGATGTAATTTAAGTAAACTCCACTTATGCGCACATTTTTAATGATACAAATAGCAGCAGGAGAATTGGGATAATTAGGCTTACAACAGGAGAAAAAGTTGAATCAATTTCTGCTCTGATGATAAAAATGTTTTTTCTTCAACATGGACTTTCCTATAGCACAAATACAATTTCTAGAATGAGGATGTTCAATGGAACCGTAGCAGAATGGTTAAAATTTCATTTTCTAGTCCATTCCTCCATTCCCAAATAATTTCTGCTTGCCTTTATAAAAATGCATGTTAAATGCAAATATGCATATCATAGCATCTTTTTTGTTTGGCTAATAGTGATAAACTGTGGTACCTTCCATATGTGACCATATTTTGATTTCCACAATACCATATAAAGTCCAACCAAACTGATGAACAACAGCTTAGAAAAGACTGGGATAGAAGATATATGACAATTGTTGAAAACTACAAGCCTTTATTTCTTTTACCTTTCTCAGCTACTTCCATGATGGATCATGTGGCTAAAGATGCTTAGGGATATAATCTGGCAGTTCATTTAGGGGCACTAAATCCCCCATAAGACCTACAAATGATGTAGGAATACAAAATCTGAAAAAACATTAAGTTGATGCTATTCTACAAAAGTAGCCAGAAGACAGAAGGGTAAAGGGAAAATGGAGTAGTATTACATCAGATTTCCAATTTTGTATATCTACATAAAATTGGGGATAAAATAATAAACAAATGTAGTTTGTCTATTTAGGTTACACTATACCATGACATTGCTAAAGTGAAGTATATTTAACTCAACTTTGAGAGGTAGCAACATGTCCATATAGCCAAAACTAAAGCAAAATTTCAGTAAGGATTTATATTCATATTTGAAGTGCAACTCCAACAAATTTATTATAATACTACTGTGAACTCATCTTACTGCAATAAAAAGAATCAGTTAGAATTTGATAGGGAAGGCTTAGGATCTTGAATCTGAAAAGCAATGAATTATGTGTGCTACTATCAATGTACTCTGAAGCCAAAGAAGATTGATCATGGCTCTCTATTTTGGGTAGCTCATATTTCTATAAGTGTCTCAACATTTGTCTTAATATATACAAATACTCTAAGATCATTTAAGTTGTTTCATTTGGTTCCAATCTATTCAAAGCAGATTAGAGAAAGTAAGTACCAGATTCAATGCTTTTGGAAGAACTCATAACAAACCAAGACCATGGAATTTATCCTGAAGTAAGACTAGATTGGCTTTAGGGATTCATTGGGTTTCTGAAAAGTAAGCAATTGTGAGTTTAGTAATGCTTATTCTTAAATATATGTGGATAAGAGAGTCACTGTAAGTTTTAAAAATAAGGATACTACTGTTTCATTGTTTTTTTTTAAAAAAACATTCATACTTATGTATCAAAAACAATAGTAAACTTGGTAACAAGGCTTGGACATCTCAGGTGACTATTGATTTCCTTATGTTTTTCATCTGAAATCTGATTGAATAAATTATATTCTTATATGGACTTTTAATCAGGTGGTTGGTGTGGCACAAGCAATCAACAAAAAATCTGGTGGTGGAGGAACATTCACTGAGCAAGATGAGAAGGTATATTTTACAATTTTATTTTTATTAACAAATATGCCATCTGAAATGCAGATAATTCTGGTAGGAACAAAAGAAGAATTTATCTTTTCTAAATGGAATTTGTGATGAGCATCTGTGAGACATCAAAATTAAAACATAAACAAAAATGGCTCATAGTCTTAACAAGATTCAGTTCTTGCTTTTAAAAATAGAAGCCTACATTTAATATTTCACATAAGACTGGGCATTGTCTGCATCTGTTTTTGTGTTTGCAAAATTCACCACAACTCTTTACCACTAAGAATCTTGTTGCATGTAATATTGGTATTTTAAGACAGATATAAACATCACTCTTTGCTAATAAAATAAAGTTCTTAGGAATTGGAAATAACAAGCTTCTAAGTTCTCAAGCATAATTAAATAATATAGGTGCTATATATAACTTTTGATGTCCAATTTACAGGATTTTGCTGCTTACCTGGCATTTTGTGGAATTGTTCTTCACAATGCTCAGCTCTATGAGACTTCCCTTCTCGAAAACAGACGCAATCAGGTGAGCTAAAGATGTCATATTTATGGGTGTGGTGTGTATAAGGGATATACAGTATTAAAACACTTATTTCATGTTTTTTCATGTGCATCAGGCATAGCCAATAGATACAATATGCTGTTTTGAGTGTACATGGTGTCATAATTGGTAACTGGTCTTAAAGGAATAGGAGACATTGGCAGTATGCATTGCCATCCTCCTGCATTGAGATCTAACCTTGAAAAATGACTGGGGATACGGAAGACGAGGTTGGGCATATTAGAGAAGGAGATGACAGAAACCTAGAAGTTTAACCTAGCAGTTAAGGGCAGGTAAGCATCCTAGTGCTCTACACGTTGTAAGCATTTCCTCCACAACAGTCCCAATTTCTCATGTGGCCCCTTGGGAAAATGAATTGCCCACCCCTGCTGTAAACTCCAATTAAACCTTTATGTTATCAGCTACCAAGATTGAACTATGAACATCATTATTCACAGAAGAAGATGACATAATTTCATCCTACTTTCTATCAAGGGATTCATACATAGGCCTAACGATTCCTGAGAACAAAATATGTCAATGTGCTACCTTGTAGCATGACAGAGAATGACATTGAGGAAGGAAGTTTAATTCTTCCCTTATTGATTGCAATCCCCACCAAAATCCCAATATAGACTACCTTTATGCTGGACTTCACTGGAAATACCTGTTTCCAAACGTAATTGCTGTGGTGAGGCACCAATTGGCTGGAGAGTTCTGCTGCTTGTATCTGGCTCATGGGCTGGAACATCTGTACCTCTTCTAGTTACAGGTAATTCTTAACTTACAACCAGTTGTTTAATGTCCCTTCAAACTTACAATGGACTAAAAAAAAGTTACTTATGACCCATCCTAAAAATTACAACTGCCTCACTACCCCCAGGGTCACATGAATGCATTTCAGGCACTTGGCAATCAGTTAGAATTTATGACAGGTTACAACATCCACAGTTGGATGATTGTATTTTGTGAGATTCTTTGCTGTTTTCCAGAAAAAAAATGGCAAACAAACATCCATTGGATAAACTGGATTCAGATTTACTATTATGTGTTTCACTAAATGAGTATCATAAAATTGATCGTAAAATCAAGTTTGGTCACGTGATGATTCAATTTATGACTGCAACAACTTACCACCAAAATTATGGGCTCAATTGTGGTTGTAAATCAAGGACTAACTGTATTCTGAAATCCTTATTACAACCAGAACATGAAAAGCATCTTGATCCACCAGTCTGAGATCAACTTTCTCCATTAACCTTGCAGTTAGGGACTGTGCCCTATGAATTCTTTGAACAGAAAGATTGGATTCATAACAGAACTACTGTATTTTGAGAAAATGCACTTTCCCCATGTGATTCAATGTGGAAATGTAAAAGTGGGAAGCAATTTGTAATACAATATATTGCTTCTATTTATGTATTCTTCTTGGGATAGGTCAGATGCTTAAAAGAATACAAAAATATTCTGGAGTGAGTTTGAGGTGGAATAAATCCTATTCCTTCCTGTTCAGTAAGTTTGTTCAGACACTGAGGCTCCCCAATATGTATAAATAGGGTGTTTACTATAACTGGTAGGGCAGAACTGTTCTTTCAGTATGCTTTGAAGGTGTGACATCTACCTATGTACTTTGTTAAAGGATTACTTATGTTCTACCACTGTTTACAGAGGGAAGTATCTTGGCCTGCCCTTACCGGTATGCAAAAACATTGGTAGGAATCAAATGGGTGGATAGGGCTCCCAAGCTTTCCCAGGATTTTAAAGTTGCTTGCAAAAATTATCAACATACCAAGCTAAGATCTCAACCAGATCCATAATTCTGTGTTACCTTGTTTTCTCAAACAGTATCTCCTGTTTCTCATTAAAAACATGAGAATGATTCTACAAAAATTGTTTTATCCATTCCTGCTACAGTTCAGGCATTTTCAGAGAGCTAAATACGCATTGACTCAATGAGTCAAACATCCTTAGACATACTCTCCCAGTAGGTTATGAATATATTTAGTAAAGAATATATTTGATTTAATCAAAATCAATCAAATATTCTGTTTCATAAGATAGACAAATGATGCTTTTCGTTTTCTGCACTTATGAATTCAAGTGACTTTATATTAAGCATTACATTTTCTAGTATTAGTTTGCATACTTCCTTTTCTCATCACTTTCAGAAATTGCTTGTTAATTGCTCTTCGGCTATTAGGAACCTTTGGATTGACGTGTTTTACAGTTCTGGGTCAGTAACCTTCAATCCTTACTGGAAGTAGTTTTAGTACATGTTTAATGACTTAAAAATGGGGTGTATGTGTGTGTGTGTGAACAGTAAGAGGGTTGTTATAACTTTGAATTTTGAAAGCTATAAATGGAATAAGGATCCAGAAAAAATGAAATAAGATTTTGGAATCCTTCCCATGGGAAAATGCTTTTGTTTTGAATTCTTTAAAACAATCATATAAGATAGGACTTTAAAAAGTGGGAACAAGTAGGAACTGAAGATTATAATTAAAGGAGAAGAAGATGTTGCACTAAATATACAAAAAACAAAAAAACCCAAACCCACTAGGTCTTAATAATTAAAAGGGATATATAAATAAACTAAAAGAACGACTGGATAATTGTCCTAAATTGGGGTTACAAAAGAGGCTCATAAAAGTTTTGAAGAATTTTGTGAGAACAGAAAGAAAAATGAAAAGAAATCAAGTTCCAGGACAATATTTGAAGTTACTAAAGATCAAGATTATTAGGAGTAAAATTTGAAGAAGGTAAAAATAGATATGTTGTTTCTAGTAACCCTTAATGGACTTTTGTGATGTCATGGCTGAAATGACAAGACTTTAAGGATTTGTCTATAAATAAGAGAGGGGACATGGAAAGAAGAGATCATTTGATATATTTTAAGAGAAGGTGATAAGTTATTAAAATTGTTTATAGTTTGTTGTGATGAAGAGGGAAGTCATTTCTTTATATATTTCTCTTTTTCCTGTTAGTAGGCATTAGTTTTTATCTTTGCAGTTGTAATTTTTAATAAAATTACTATTAAAAATATTCTGGAAGGCTATTGTTGGAATCCATCAGTATCCCTTTGATTGGAGGCAGGTCTAGTTCCAGAGAAGTATTAATTTTGTTAAGAAAGATCACTTAGTAACTTAAAAATTTCCATCATGGTTTAGTTCCACTGTCATTATTAGATTGTTATTATTAGATTTACTCAAGTTGGAAGAAGACCTAGGAGGTGAAATTACAAAATATTGTCCTATCTTTTCCAGGCTTGCATTCTTTGGTTTTTACCAAAGCTAAAGAAATAGTCATATAGCAGATAATATATATTGATTTGTAGAGTGATAATGCTGAACCTTTCCCTTGGGGGGACCTTAAGTAAACTTTTTGAGGCAGCTAAATAATCTTGCTTCTGTAAAATATCATAGAACCTTTATCATAGTATGCTGTAATACACTACCTTCAACTTTACAGGAATGACATTCCTAATTTATTCCCTTTACAGAGATGCTTTGTCTATTAAACAAAAGGACAGGTTGTTATGCTGCTGGTTTTATTGTGAATGTACTATGTATATTTAACTCACTTCAAATAAGGTTCCTAGAAGATGAAATAAATTTGGTATTTCATTTCTTCTCAATCACTTTGAAGTTGCAAATT